TATATTATTTACTTTTAACCACTTTGTCCAGCTCTGTAACAACACCATGTGTGGAGAGAGGCCTGGTGGTGAGAACAAGTCCAACTGTTTGCCAGTGGATGAAACTCACAATACAAAGAAATGAAATAGAAAAAAGCAGGTAACATCAACAATTTCCAGTTTTACAGATGAAGGCACATTACCTTTTCTACTTTTTTCTACTGTTAATTAATCTTTTATGGGCATGATTCCAGGAGTATATATTAAATAGACACTTAGGCTATTAATATTAGTTTTGATATTGATAAGCTAATGTGTGAGATAACTTTATCTCATTATCTCATTTCTTATAATTAACTTACTCAGAAACCAATTTCATTATTTATCCATGAAGAAAAATGTATTTATGTGTAAAGACAATACAAAATCAACTCACTCCCGGTGAATAATGTTAGATATTAAATTCTGCAAAAAATGTTTACCTCTGTCATATTACATGGTTTATTGCAAGAGAAGACATACAAAACAAGACAAAAGATCATTTCACTTAGCCTGCCATTAGCCTATACTTATGTAAGAAAAAGCCTAATACAACCACGTTTTATTTTTAAATCTGTAAACAAAACGCTTCTTTTAACTGTCTGCTAACTGCAGCCGAGTGAAGCAGTAACAGCCTGACGCCATTAACGTTAGAGCAACTGTCATTTCCACAACTTTTCCTCCACTTCACCCGCTGCCGAGGGACGACAAACGACAACAATGGCAGCTGAGAAAACAAACAAACCTGTGACGACCACAGTCCGTTTACTGTTGTCCATCTCCCGTCGTGTTGCAGAGGATCCGTAGCTTTTTTTTCTTGGTCTTTATTTAGAACCACGGACGTATCGACACTCAGCACTCGCCACAGCTGACGGCTCCTTCTGCTACAAGCCAAACCGCCGGTCCTTCTCAGGAGGCTGCGTGAGACGTAACGCGATGACGCCAGCAATTACACGCTTCTTTCGTCGACAACATTTTCGATAGATAGATAGGATACATCCATGAGATTAGAAAGAAAGAAAGAAAGAAAGAAAGAAAGAAAGAAAGAAAGAAAGAAAGAAAGAAAGAAAGTAAGTAAGTAAGTAAGAAAGAAAGAAAGAAAGAAAGAAAGAAAGAATGGATGGATGGGTGACATGTTTCTAGATTACATTAAATGTGGGCACGGTAATTTACCCATATACAACATCCAACTGTCTTAAATACTCACTAATTCCTGTTGTTTGAGTAAGGTTTGTTGACTACTGCAGTTACCAGCTGCTTTAGGAAATTATTTAACCTTTTTTTTTTAAATGAAAGCATATATATCAAGTGTCACAGACAGGTTAAGAAATGTGGAGATGGACAGAATTGGTTTGGACAGTATTGGTTTTGGTCTTTTCATAAGATTATCAGACTTATCCTTTACCTGGCATTGATATTAATAGTTCAAGGAACGCACTATGTATTCCGCACACGGGTATTTTGGGGGAAGTATTAAATAGTTATTTGGTGTTCCTTCTCAAATATATGATTTGTAAGTGAGTGTTTTGACTGTAGAGGGCAGCATCTTACAATACTCCACGTTTTTGCCCTGCGGCGCCGGAAACGCATTTAGGACAAGAAGAAGAATATAGGAGGTAAAATCGTGTGGTTGAAGGGCCAAGACAGAAACTAAGACAAAATCAAAAAGAGATACTATCACAATGGTAAGTATTTAACTGTGAGTCTCACACAAAATGTTAATAGTGGTATATTACATCTTTAGCAGCGCGCCTGCTGCTCAGCACAGAAGCGCTGGGTCATAATGATGCTCGGTAATGTTACGTAAGCTAAGTGAAGTTAGCTACTGAAGCTAAATGAACACAGATTTTACACAGTGTTTGTTTTGCTGCAGCAAACGTCGTAATCGGGCTGCATGTGCTGAGGTGGAGATAAAAGCTTATTTAACCTGAAGGTCTGGTATAGGGTATTTATTTTAAAACGCGTTTAGAAGACATTATAATATGTCACGTTCAAAGGTCTTGAAGTCACAGACGCATTGTAAAACATTTGGCTCAGATGTATAAAGTCCCCCTACCCCTCTTATACATGAGCCCACCGGACTGAAAGAGACATTGTTATTGTGCCTGATTGTGGTTGTTTTGTGTCTCTTTGAGATTGTTCTGCCTGTCTTTGTAGTTTTGAAGCTAAAGCTCCGGACTTTTTCATATAAGAAATATTAAGTCACTTCATTTGGAGCAGAGAACCAGGGGCATGAAGGGTCTGGGGGCCCCTGAGCCTGGTCAATAATGCGTAGTTGTGCATATGGGTCTAGATCATGTTAAGCGATTGAATATATTACTTAGATTAATATAGACTATATACAACTGCTAAATCATTAACGAACAATTGTAATCCTTATTGTTAATTTTCTGTCATTCTTCATGAAGTGTGATTGTGAAAAAGTATTTGAATTGGATTATCTGCTGTATGTAAATATAAAATGTCTTAAATTTAGTTTGGAACACTGTAGAAACTCTTTGTTAGTTATCTCTGCTGCAAACAAGAGCTGCCGCCATTACCAGTTGCCAAACTGGCGGTGGTCTCACTGGAATAACACACTGCTGAGTGCCGGTACTCCTAATGTATCATGTAACTGGGTCTAACCAGTGCCTTGCTTCAGATGTAGTCCTGGTTGTCTGGTTTACTCAGATAGCTAAATAATGTTGATGGGAGGTGAATTCCTATGTATGACCTGTTTTGTCTTTTTGCAGCTTCCCCTGTCTCTGCTGAAGACTGCCCAGAACCATCCCATGGTGAGGAGACACTGAGCTCTTTCTGCTGTCAAAGAGCTGTTTATCCATTGATAAATCAGTATCTGATTTTATGTAAAACTGTGTAATAAACCTTCTTGTGGTTGTAGGTCTCTAAGCAGCAAAGATCAGTATTTATGTTGTTAGTCTGTTATCTAGTTAATTTATAGGCTAGGAATAACTGGCAAGCAGCTACTCAGGTTTGGCTGTCAACTTTTCCTTGGGCTTCATTTACATTTTTATCATCTTATTATACATTGTATCATGTTCAATGTGCAGCTGTTGCTGCTTCAGCTCTAGCTGTTTAATTTTCAGGTTGAATTAGTTTAATAAACTACATTAAATCTTGGCAACCTTCTAGATGACGAGATGAATTGACTTAAGTTCAGTGTTTTTGTTTTCTTTATCTGTGCAGCCAATAATTGCTATGTCTTGTTTGGTGGTTTATACCATGAGCAGACTGAAGCTCTAGCTTCTGTCATCCACCTCACGTTGTGCTGCTGTTTGTTTGTTTCCTCTCTGCTCAGCTGGTGGAGCTGAAGAACGGAGAGACATACAACGGTCACCTCGTCAGCTGTGACAACTGGATGAACATCAACCTGAGAGAAGTCATCTGCACTTCGAGGGTAAAGCTGAGCTCTGCTTTCATCTCTCTGCTGCCTCTGAAACTGTTGACACGGTGACAACAAACCCCAAAGTGTTTATTGTCATAGCGATGATTAGGATGTATGTGGATGTGTTGACACCCCTACTAACCTCTGACAGGATGGAGATAAGTTCTGGAGGATGCCTGAGTGCTACATCAGAGGAAGCACCATCAAGTATCTGCGAATCCCCGACGAGATCATCGACATGGTGAAGGAGGAGGTGGTGTCGAAGGGCCGCGGTCGGGGAGGCGCCCAGCAGAACAAACAGCAGGGCAAAGGAAGAGGAGGAGCCGGCAGAGGTGAGTGGAAAACGCTCCCTGCTGATCAGACAGACTTCTGCAGGGGTGTTTGTTTTTGCCTACTGTCACAACGTGAGTACTGGCATCACAGTTTCAGGTTGTTTCCAAGTGTCTTTGCTAATACTAAATCCACACACTATCAGGAGCACCAAGGTTTTTGCCAAAAACACTTGTGAATAAAAGATTAAAATGCCTGTATTTAGACCAGCCAAGTCAGCTGTGAACCATTAAACTCCACTGGAGACTTTTTGTGTTTTAGTGTCAGTTGAGGAATTATCTCCTCCTTAATTAACCCAGGAATTTCTGCAATCATTAGGCTGATTAAAACACTTCAAAACCAATCAAGTAACTAGGAAACGCATGTAAGTGAGCTAAATTCAAAATTTCTGAAAAGTGGATATGTTAAACATATGAAGTAGTCTACCAGACAGAAATGAGACACTTCATATTGGTCTGCATGTCCACACTCAGGTGGGGTGATCTTCTCTAGTCCCACGTTTCAGCAGCGATGATGTTCTTAAACATTTTATTATCAGATAAACTTGCACAAAAGACACATTCAGCCAAACAAATCCCCATTAAATAATTTTCCTTTTAGTGTCTGATATGTCAAGGAAGCTGTGACATTTTAACTTGACTTGAATGTTACAGGCACAGCACAGCTCTGATGCTTTAAGTTGGGGAGACTGTGTTCAGTAAAGCTTAACACTGTTTAACACCTGCACACAGCCCAGATTTAATCGACCAGCTTCCTTTTCAGTGCACACACCTGTAGCAGTGTTACACACAAACCACACACAAACCTAAAAGTAAATATATTTGATGGCAAAAGATGGCAATCTGTCTGAATAATATTTGTCACTGCTGACAGACATTTCTCTATTTCCACTGCTCTCTTACGTCCCTCTGTAGGTCTGTTTGGCGGTCGTGGCAGAGGAATGACCGGCCCTGGTCGAGGCCAGCAGCAGCAGCAGCAGCAGCAGCAGCAGCAGCAACAACAACAGCAGCAGCAGCAACAACAACAGCAGCAGCAGCAGCAGCAGCAGGATAAGAAACCAGGGAAACCACAGGGAATGAAGAACCAGCACTGACAGATAACATGGCACCGTCAACAGCACATCCTCTTATTCAGAGCAATTACTCCTTCAGTACATGAAGATAAAATTAACTCTCTGGTGTTTTCTTCTGCTGAGCTGTTCGTCAGGACTGACCATGGCAAAAATCACACTGGGAGAAGTTGAGAGAAGCTGTGCATTTGCACTGAGTTTTTTTTTTTTTTTTAGCATCTGTAAGTTGGTGTTAACATTTTTTATAACCATAAACCAGTGTATCAGTCAAAGCTCATAAACCTCTCCTCTAGTATCAATTTGTAATATGTATCATTACAACTTTACATTTTATATATATAAAAGGTTTTCCCTCAGTTGGTACACTGGAGTGAGGTTTTTATGTTTAGGTTTTTTTTTGGTTGTTTGCTTGTCAACTCGTCTCCTCAGGTGTAGTTTTCATTGGTGAAGAAACTGCCCAGCCCCAACTTTTGTTGCATGAATATTTTTTTTTATCTTGCTCTTTATTTCTGTGTTGTTTGTGACGTTCTGTCGTTTGCAACCTTTTAGTTTGGCTGCTGCACTGAACAATGCGATCACAGCAGGTGATAACAGTAGACCAGCAGTCACCAGATGACGATTCAGTCCCTGAAAATGAATACACTTTTGTTAAAGCATTTGTAAGACAACACATAATGATGCTGGGGGGAAAAAAAAGGTTTCTCATGTTCTTAAGTCTGACATGGATGAGTCCAACATGTGTCAAGTTGGTCGGGTTTCATTTTATTTTTGTAACAAAAGACGATGTTGTAATTTATTTACATGAGAACATGAGAATAAAACAACTTTTGTTAAAGCGGTTGTATTTCTTTAGAAATGATCCTCTGTGTAAAGATACATCCAGGATTGGCTGCTATTGGTCCTGTTAGTCAAAACAATCTGAAATCAAAGTACAATATAATATTGTCATAATTGCCCTGACTAAGTGTGGCCTTTGAATTATATAGAGATTGTAAATCTTAATATCTGTCCTGGATCAGCAAACAGTATTTTTTTAATTGGAAACTAGGGAAAAGTCGTCATGTAGCACAGGGTTCATAATGAGGACAAAAATTTAATTGATAAAAAATCCAGCATATTTGCATTCTTATTAGTTCATTATTGACTAGAAGGATTTGATATCTTGAATGATATAAATATTACCCTGTGTGTATCAAAATTATTAAACATAGTTTTTAAAAACACAACATGTAAACCCAGTTAGGGTTGAACTGGATTACCAAATCCAGATCTGAGTGATCAGAATCTCATCTGTTGGTTATCGGTTATCAGATTAATTAAATTATGATGGATTAAATATAGCTTTAATTTAGTGACCACAATATCAAGTTTCATTAAAAAAAAATCAGTTCAAACTCAAAACAAGTTATTTACAGTATGAATGATTGATGAAGACTCAGACTTCACATGCGTATATAAATTGATTTATTGATTATTTAACAAATATGAATGTAATTCAAATATAGTAATCAATGATTTAAACTTGCCTTATAATTGTCAATGTTTACATGCTTTTCACCGTTTTACATAAAATCACATCTGTTTTTTGGCTTCTAACCAGTATCTAAGCAGATTTTGGAACCTTGTAACACACATTATGTTCTACGTTTTAAAGGTTGTTTTATTAATGAAATATTAAGATTAAGACTTAAAAGGCTTAGAGATAAAAAGATAAAAATCTCAAAAGGTTTAAACATAAAGAAACTTAAAATTTGGGAGATTTGCTTCCTTTCTCCTGATTTTACGTCAGTGAAGAAGAGTACACCCATATACAGGCTTTCAAACGTTCCTGCAGACAGCGATGGGTGTCATCACAGACACTTTGTTCATGATTCTCTCAAGTCCCTGATCCCAAACATGACCAGACTGAAGAAAAACACATACAAATAAGATAAAAACTTCACCAGAGATATTTTAACATAATCATCAAGGTTTTGTTCAGAGACCATTTTACCTTCATTAAATGCAAATAAACATTCAAAGTACCTCAATATGTAAGAAAAATAAAAATAAAATGAAAAATATGCAATATGATATGTTTTCTTTACGACTTCATCGTACCATCATACAGACTCAGAACCTTCATTGTTGGATTTTGGTGGTCAATAGTGAAATAAACTAAATCCAAAAAATGTAGGTAAACATAATCATGAAACAGATATAATATATATACAATATATTCTTGTGTAAGTCAAACATTTCCCTGAGTATATCCTGAGATTTTTTTCAAATGAGACTCAGACAGTAACTCTTCAAATTATTTCTATTAATAAAAGGCAGTAAATGAGAAGCTGGCTCATGACAACGCTACACAAACTATATATTCAGGGCATCATCCACTCAAATTTACTTAGTCTTGGTGTGCTTCATTGTTTTTAAGGTTATTTTTTAAATCTTTCCATACATAATCATCACAGAGAAGAAAAAACAAAAAACAGATACAAATCAAAAAAGACACAATCAACTCCTTCGGTCTCTAGAGTGAATAACAAATTAATCTGAAAAACAAAAAAAATCTCTCCTCCAGTTCATCCCTTCATCATTAAGTCCTGTTTGGTGGTGACGCCGTATTTCCAGGTCTCTACAATCTGGCACAGCTGCAGATTTTCAGGGAACTTGTCCTCCAGGTAACGAGGCACCTCCACTTCTTTGCAGTCCACGTAGGCAGCCACAGTTTCTTTCACACTGAGAAGAAGGAAAACAAATTGTTTAAAACATATCTCTCAGTTTCATTTAAGGGAAAGGATCATGTATTTAACTACATAAAACTTTTTTTTTTTTTATTATTGTACATGGTTTTACAGCTTTTATCCTGATTTTTGCTATTTTCCCTTGGTCTTTAATGGTGTTTTTTTTTCAACATATGTACAATATAAGGAACTAAACACATTCAAAACTGTAACTGAATATTATAACCTTCACGGTGGTTATTCATATTATATTAATACACAGGATTATTGATGTGTCTGTGGTGAAGAATTTCAAGCCCATTATGCTCATTAGTACAATGATGCAAGTTACTAAGTTATTAACATTACTTGCATTCTTCACAAATGATCAATAAAATTGATGACTTTCAAATTTGTTGGCCCGTAAGCTGATTTATCCACACACACAATGTAATTTTGACCAATAAGTCTGTTATGCAATATTAAGTCCATGTCATGGAGAACTGGAATGTGTAGCAGTGCAACTAACCAAATCAATCTCCAATCTCCATCTCTTTTTACTAGGGCTATGGGGGGAACAAGTGGGTTAATAAGGAAACATTTTGAAGTTGTTCAACGGGTTCACCTCCAAGAAGGATTGTATTGCTCAGTGGCCCGCGGGCGGCCCAGTCTCAACAGGAGGAACTCGTGCATCTCAAGAAGCCACTGGTCCATGTTTCCTCTGGACACGAAGCCTTTCAGCTCAAGCTTGTCTTCCTCTGTCAGCGGCATCTGGTATTCAGCTGGATACCCAGAAAAGGGCTCCTTTTTGTAGAAACATGGAGGGAAGTATTTTATATGTGTATTAAATTACACTGTATATTCTGAATTAAGTTTTGTGTTTGAAGTATACACTGAAATGAGCAACTGGACAATTAGCAATGGCACAAAAGCAAAACCTACCCTCTTTAGACGCAGCATGTTTTCAGATTTAAGAGAGGAGAGCAGTTGCCACAGTGAAACACAGTGTCTGAGGGTGCATCTGCTCAGAGTCTGAAGAAACAACACAGCAGAGTAAAGAGTCTGTTCTATACAGTCTGAAAGCACACAGTTTAAACAACAAAATGAACTTACACCTACAGCTTGTTCTCTTTAGTTTTTTGGGTTGAGATTCATTTTTATGAGGCTTTATTTTATGGATTATCTTATTTTACCAAGTATGGTGTTGTATTATGTCCAACTGTTGTGGTGGTTAGTAAAGAGGACTGAGATACAACAGGCAACTGTCTCTGTGCTTTTACTTTACTCACAACATGGAAGTAGCCATAACTCAGGAGGTAATTTTAGCTGTGTTTTGAGTTTTGCCAGGGATGACAAAGCTACCCGTTTTCCAGTCTAATTTATTAGTTCCTTAAATTAGTGTGGATTAAGCTCTCACTCTGGAAAAACTTCACTGTAGTTCTGTTGTTGGAGGACTGAGGGACACGTTTATGTCTCAGTGTGTCAGTTTACACTGACATAAAGTCACTGTCACCTCAGTTTCTTGTCCTAACTATCCAGTCTTGTTCAGGAAATCTTAACAGTCACTACAAACGAAGAAGCTTCATATGCATCGACCTGCAATATGTGATGATTGATGTGGTCGGCCATCTTCAGCACATCCTCAAGGTAAGTGACCAGTTTCATCATGGGATCACCACCGGTCACTGAGAGGAAACCCAGGAGCAGCTCCATGATCCTGAACGCCTCACACACCTCGCTGTAGGACTCCAGCTCTCTGGACACGGCGTTTCGTATCAAAGAGGACAGAGGCTCCTGAAGGACAAGCAAAGTGTGAATGAAGCCTGGAGCCATAATCTACTGTAAATATAATTAAACACAACATAATATATGTGTGTCTACTGGATCTACGTGTTCGTAACTATCAAATATTATAGGTCAAATTTACTGAATATATGAATTTAAATTTAAATAAATGTAATAATAAAAAATGTAAAGTTTGTTAACTATTAATGGGCATTGGTCAAAAAAAAAAAAAGTTTGTGTAGAATGGAAGACTACTTTTTGGTTCCAGCTTCTAAAATGTGACGATTTGCTGCTTTTCTGTTTTTTTAAATCATTGCAAATTGAATATTTTTCAGTTGTGCACAACCGACAAAACAAGATGTTTGACCAACCCATGGCTCTGGTAGCTTTTGACCGACATTTTTGATAGACAAAAAATAACCATTAGATTAACTGTTAATGGAGATAATCTTTAATTGCAGCTGTTGTAAATATATTTCCTGAAATGCATGTAATAAATATATATATAGTATATTTTGTGATTTTGACTACAGTGTGCACATGTGAGATGAAACACATTTAAGAGAAATCTTAAATGTGTAATGTAATCACAATTCTGTTGCTTATTGTGTAAAAAGTGGTAAATACATTTGGTAAGAATACAGGGTTCAATAATTTACCTGATGTACTTTTCCTTTAACAGCTTTGAAAATGGTTTCATTGTCTCTCTCTTGTGTCTTGACCAGAGTGGGAATTCCCTAAAATAAAGTACACTGAGTTAGCTGAGGCAGGGAAACACAGAAATAAGACTGTAAAATAAGTCGGATAACACAAAGCAGATGCAATCATGATTAATCCCATCAAGATGTTACAATTTGCTTGATGAAAACGTTTTACTTGTCATCATATTCCTCCACTAATTTTTTAGGTTTTTAACTTTAAATTGTCACCCGTCCGTATGTTTATTATACTTTTAAGACATAAATGAGTGTTTTCAAATATGAAGAAGAGATGAAGAATTGCACTGACAGGATATTTGAGTGACATGTTAATATTCAGGGTTTTATGTATTTTCTTTTTTGGGGGGGGACTTGTTCATGTAGATGAACTTTCTCTCTCTCAGGCAAGTCAGACTTCTCTGCTGCTGCTTTTAAAGGGGATACGAGGAAGTCATGTGATTGGTTGTTACTTTAGCTCACCCAACTCCAACTGCTGAGTCTGTACTACTCCTACTAATAATGTATTCATCCTCCTGGTCATATCAATTTATGTTTGCACCTGGAGATTATACTTGCATTCGTATCTGCTTTGTTTCAGGAAGACAGAGCCACGAGACAGTTTTTTTTGCCATGGTTGCGCCTGGCTGCATGGACTCACTGTGCAGGTGATGAGGGGTTTTCCCTGAAGGAAGCGTGTGAGGATCTGCTGCTGGATCCTGGGCAGGTCATACTGTGATATTGTCTCATGGCCACGTTCCAAGTTGTACTGACAGTTGGATAAAACCAGAGGAAGCAGGTCCTTCTCCACATCATAGCGGATCACATGCTGCTCCGCCAGCTCCGCCACACTCAACCTGTAACTGCTGCAGCAATGGAAGTTACAGACACATCACAATACAAATAACCTCTTCTTCAGGTAACCCTTTCTCCCTGTTTAAAGTGTTCTGTATCCAAAAACAAACCAGCAAAAAAAGTACAGCAAAAGTGCTTTCTATTCCGAATTTTCTATTAATTTTATTTACTACATTTGTTTTAAAAGTCAGTATGTGCATTTTAATGTTGACAAGTCTGTGCTACTTTCAAATAAATGGTACTCCTCTCATGCTCGAAGGGTAGGAGGATAAGTGCAGTGCTACAAGAGCATTACCTGCACTCAGATATTTATGGTAAAACGACAAAGCAGCATTGTTCATGCAGTACTAACTCTCCAGTGCTCAGCATTGGACAACAATCTAAGAATTGTCTGTGTAGATACTTGTATGTTATATACCTGCTGTCCTCTCTGGTGTGACTGTCCACAGCGTACACCAGCTCATTTTGTAGTGCCACAAGGTAGCTGACCAGCCCTGTGGCACACAGGCCTGGACCTTGCCGCCGGGGCAGGAGGTACTGCAGGTCGCTGTCCAGGTCCAAATCCTCACTGCAAAATTCATCTGGAATTTTCATCTCACCTGTAGGTTGGAAAGGACGTATAAATGATTCCTTATTTCCAGTGCGTCATGTAACTATGCTTACATGACATGTCACACAATCACAGAATTGCATTGCTCTAGTTATAAATTCATTATTAGGCAAATTTAAACTCAGCTCTACTCATCCTTATTACTCCTCATCCAACTTATTTTAACTGAACTGATCCAAAGTGCTTAACAGTAAAGAGGGAAAACAAAAAAGGAGAGGACAAGAAAAGATGCAGGGTAAGTCCATTCACTGCGACTGCCTCCATCGGTAAAACATTTATGGAGACAATATGCTTTACTTACTGCTGGTTACAGACACTCTGAGCAGATTCCAGGTTTTCAGAAAGATGTCAATGCGTTTTTCATACCATGTCCTCATTTCTGGAACAAGAAAAAATGTTTAGGTCGTCAGTATGACAAAAAACTGAATTAGAAAGAAAAGAATTAGTTGAGAATTGTTTTCTGTGCCATGCTTCTGTTTCTTTGAAAGATGGGTAACATATTTTTCTTGGCCCCACTCATCAGTCAAGATTTAGTCCATTAGATTTCAGATACTTAAATGTTAACATTTTGAGAAAAATAAGGCTTCGGTGTAGGCACTGCTCAGAGATATCACAGCTGTACCTGTTTGCTTTTCAATGAACTCTGTGATGGAGCCCGCTATCTGGTCAGATGCATTCTGGAACTTTCTCACCAGACGTTTTTGCAGGATTACGATGTCTGGAAGGAACTTAATCTGGCGAAATTCTCTCTCCTGAAAAAGGAAACCCGAACAGCTGATAACCATGTCATAACCAAGGCTGAATATATAAATCCGTTAACATAATTGACCATAATACATCTCTGGCAATTTATAATTATGCGGGTCAAAACTAATGGCTAGCTGTCAAGATGAAAGTCATTTTTAATTTTAATGAAACTGGCTTTTATCTGAATTTATTTTATGAAGATTAATAGATCAATAAGTACAATTTTGAACTCACACTTTTCAATCACACAGGTGATAATCAAATCAATGTCCTTCGGGTAGTGGTGTATCCCCTCAGGAGCATGAATGGACTAATCAAATGTCATAGCAAATTACCTTTTAGATTTTAAGATATATTTTGGGAAAACTTGAAATTTAGTCTAAAGGTTGCACAAAAGAATGGGATACAAAGAGTTCATTGTCTTAATGTATACAGTTACCAAAATTAATATCAATTAGATTTTGATGTTATCTAGATGTGGAAACTTTGAATTGCTGGAGGCCCAAGATCAAAGGTCAAGAGGTCAAAAATATAATAATGGGTGTATAATCTTCTTCCACATCAAATTACATAACAACCTGGCCAGTAGTTGTCAAAGTTTCTTGCTCTGAACATCACTGCTTGATAGAGTTGTGAATTCAAAGCCATTTTGTCTTAACACTTTACATTTCACACATTCACCTTCTGCAGGAACCTCCAGAGCAGAGGCAGCTCCTCCTTTTGGTCATTGTGCTCCATGGTGTGTTTGAGACTGAGCAGTGAGAGCCTCTCCCTGCAGCTCCAAACTGCTGTGCTGTGGACCTGAGAGCCCTGCGGCAGCGACGTCAGGAAAGTACAATCATCACCGAAGGTCGTCCTCATGATGAAGTTGGAAGATACGCGAGAGTCAGTCCTGATGCTGCCCTTTCCTTCTTGCAGGAACTGATCAACATCCTAGACACAAAACATTGGCAGTAGTGGTAGCAACTTTTACTGCAGCATTAGAAAACATTCGTATTGTGCAATAAAAAAATATAACAAATATTAATATATGATACATATACAATACAAATTAGAATATTATAACAATATAAAGAGAAACAGATTATCAAAAATTAAACATAAATTTAGATACTTAGATTACACATCGGTTATAATAATAGTGTGATGGCTGCGTGGATGGCCATACAATATACGCTTGCCAAGCACTTTATTAGGAACATCATACTGATACTGGGTAGGGCCTCCCTTTGGTCTCAAACAACCTCACTTCTTTGTGTCATGGAGGTTGGAAACATTCTTTGAGTTTCTGCTCCATGTTGACATGATTGCATCACATCATTTTTGCAGATTTGTCAGTTGCACATTCATGCTGCCAATCTCCTGTTCTATCACATCCCAAAGGTGTTCTACTGGATTCACATCTGGTGACTGAGGAGGCCACTGAAGTAAACTGAACTAATTGTCATGTTAGTGAAACCAGTTTGAGAGGACTTTTGCTTTGTGACATGGTGCATTATCATGCTGGAGGTAGCCATTAGAAGATGGTAAAATGTGGCCACAAAGATGACATGCACATGGTCAGCAACAATACCCAGACAGGCTGTGTCCTTCAAACAATGATTGATTGGTACTAAGGAGCCCAAAGTGTACCAAGAAAACATTCTCTGCACCATTACACCACCACCATCACCCTGGACTGTTGACATAAGGCAGGTTGGGTCCATGGATTCATGCTGTTGATGCCAAATTCTGACCCTACCATCTGCATGATTCATCAGACCAGGCTAAGTTTTTTCAACTTTCCAGGTCCAGCTATTCTATCTGCCACAAGGTTCAACATGTTTTGCATTCTGAGATGCTTTTGTCCACTCTGGTTATCTGAGTTACCGAAGCCTGCCACTCACTGGATGTTTTTTGTTTTTCACACCATTTTGGGTAAAGTCTAGAGACTGGTGTGTGTGAAAATCAGAGATCAGCAGATTCACAAATACTCAAAAAGCCTCTCTGGCATTCATGCTACAGTTACAGTCCCTGAGATCACATTTCCCCCATTCTGAGGTGAACATTAACTGAAGCTCCTAACCTGTATCTGCAAGATTTTGTGCACTGCCCTCTGTGACATGATTGGCTGATAATTGCATGAGTAAGAAGATGTACAGGTGTTTCTAAAAGAGTGCTCTGTGAGTGTATGTACCAGTCATAAGATATGCAGTGTTCTAACATTTTCAAATACCATAAAAGCTTTATTGTCACTCATAAAGGGAACATGATATAATGTAAAAAGGAAAGGTAAAAGGTTTTACCTTCAGCTGAGATGTCATAATTTCTGCAGCCATAGTAGTCTCCCAGGAGTTTCTGGATTCTTTGGTTGTTAAGTATTGATCAATACCAGCTAGACAAAGTCAAACAGAAAAATATTTTGTAGAGTATGTCACATCAGTGAAGGTTATCTGTTCTTACTTATTATTTTCAAGTTCTGATTTCCACTAATTCTTCCCACCAGTACCCATATGAGACACAAGAATTCAACTTGGGCAAATACAGTACAGTCTCTCTCAGTTAGTATGGGTGTGACTCATCTTTTTGTTATTTAGACAAATTAGACAAAGTTATGTCCAACTTCAGCAAACTTTATAATTATTTTGCAGTGACAGATTGGTGGTGGGCTTACAGTGATTGGCCTGCTGTAGGTCTAGTAGGGATCTGAGCACCAAGTGGGCAGTTGTAATGGTGTCATCAACTCCTCTTCCCAGTGCCTGTGACAGCTGATCCAGATCCTTCATTATGTGTTGAGTGAGAAACAAACAAACATCCTCCACAGGAGACTGGATGATGTGCTGGACAGACTAAAGGAACAGAGAGAGGGGGAAAATGTCACAGTCAGATTCAAAGAAACAAGCAAAATGATTCTAAGTTATATTATTTTATTATAATAAGAGTAAAATAGAGTAAAAATAAGAGATTATTATCTGGATAGAATTATTTGATATCTCAGCTGCACATGTCAGTTCTGAAAAAACAATGGCATTTACACTCCAACAAATTTTAACAGAACTCTTCCTCTGCTCACCTGGGACTTCTCTGAGGTTCCCAGCAACATGGCCAAATGTGTAACCAGTCTGACCAGAGTGAAGGGAGTCAAAGACATGTTTTTGGTGTCCAGGGCATCTGGGTTGTTTCTCCGCTCAGGGTCTCCCAGGATGTGGCCAGTTCTTGTGCGATCCCTAAAATGACAGTTAAGTATCAGTCAGTTAGTATGATGGGGGGTATTTACATAACATAACTAAAATCATTGCAGCTGGTGATGTGTTAGATATTTTTCTAATTAAACACCACAAATATCAAAATACTGAACTTATTTTGCTCTTGTTTGCAGGGTGATCATTTATCTTGTTAACCAAATCACCAAAACTATTTGAATTTTTTAATTTTTTTAGCATTTACACATTGTCAATACTTACATATTCTACAACAAAACTGAAACTGTGTCAGAAACTTTAACAGAAGATACACTAAAACACACTAAATTGGAAGCACACTTTACATGCTTACAAGAGACAATTAAGTGCATGACTGTAGCTTGGCCATTAATGTCACTCACTGCGGCAACTGAATTGGTGTAAATCCAGGCAAGGCTCTATGCTGCTCCCCTCCAACCTCCTGGCCACACTCCAGACATTGGCCTCTCTGCATGGGCAGGCCGCACTGCAGAGAAACATAGCAGATCAGATCATTTTGCTCAGAAGTCTGATTTCTTATCTACTGTATGTTTTTACTGCTTCATGCCCATGAAGATAAATTAACTGGAACTGCATAAATAAAGCTTACCTTATCAACAAAGCATGGGTGATTATTCTGACACACTGTGGAGAACAACAAACAATTAAAATAGCATTAAAGCACCTGGGTTATTGAGACAGAAGATAAACTCAATTTAAGATTTACCAGATGGGTTTCTGTAACTCCTTTAGCATTCAATATGTAACTCTGAGCAATACAGTTCATCCAAAGACTTTTTGACTTATGTTATTTATACTTACCATACCAAGTGAGCTGCCCATGGTTTTGTTGTATGGCTGCCTGGGCAACAGCTAACATGTCATCAGGCATTGTCGGTATGAAAGCGTTCTGTTAGGTTAAATCAAATGAAAATATTACATTTCACATTAAGGTTTAATTCAAACAATTATGTATCAATAATAGTAATTATTACAGTTACGAGTAATTCAAAGAGCTTTTCGTTCCAACTCTTTGATTTCGATTTTATAATCCAGAGTAAATAGTGTAATAATTTTCAGGATTTATTTATCATAATGCATTGATGGGGGTTGTGGTGAGTTAATGATTAATATGACCAATTTAAAATTTTTTATTCACTTCTTATGACAAAAATCTGTTTTGAAATAAATCCACGGAAATTTGAAAACAATCCCACCACTATATTATGTAAGGAACCTTGACGTTGTACAACTCAAAGCCTCCAGTCATTTGACACAGATAGCAGCTCACAGTTGAAGAGCTCTAATGGTCTAAAGAGGCAGATTTAAGACACTCTTACCTGCATATTTTCAGGAAACAGACCAAGTTGTTTGAGAGGCATCAGCAGGAGGTGAGTCCCAGTGAGCAGCACAGCTGCCAGATGGATGGTCAGCTCGATGACAGCATTTCCCACAATAGTATTTCCAGGGTGGATGGTCAGGGCTCCCAATCTGTTGTGAACCAAGGCTGAGGCAAAATCCCTTACTTCTCTTTGATGCAAATACCTGGACCCCTGGATGAAGTCTCCAAATGCTTGGCATCTCTACAGAGAAAATATAAGACCATACACAATCACTGTTAGCAAGTTCTACATAGCACCATTATGAAACATTTGACAACAAAATATAAGCTGAGTTTCTGATTAATATTACTACTCAGCAGAACTTTATATTTTGCAGAAAAAAATTGGTCAAAACAATATAATATATAAAGCACATGTTTTATGTGAACAGTTATTTCACTGTTTTACTTCCAGATGTGAACATTAATGGCCTATGGTACACGATCGGTACAAATTAACACAAAAACATTTGACTGATGGCTTAACAGATATGGTTTCATATTTGATCTGTCTTATTAAAGTTGGTTTTTCATATAATGTAATGATTAACAGATCATAGAAGTACTTTTTGCATTACAGTTTTGAGGAGGTGTTAAACATGCAACAAACACAAATGTTTAACATGCTTGAAGTAGCAAATGACGTAGCACCTGTCACTGGGGATTAATCGTCACTTACAGGCATGTTTTCGGTGCATTTGTGGTGCATTTTATCATCATTCATACCTCAGGGGTTGGATGAAAACCCATGTTGTCAGACCTGTACAGAGTTGTAACCTCTCGGAAAAGTGCCAGGAGGATGAACACTGTTCGATTCCTTGGTGGTGCGGTGCATCTCTAAATCAATGAAACACAACCAAAAATCAAGTAGCGAGTAGCTACATTGTGCTATTCAGATTGAATGGGCATTTGGTCCCATTATCAACTATGGTAGGGAAACAGATCTCAGATTTTGGCAAAAGCTGTCTTTTTAACGTATCCATGTGTTTTCAGGTTTTATCCCTTTAACTAGTTTAACTAACTTTTAGATCTAGATTTCCTATGTTCAGGACAGATGTTCTTTCTGCAATCTACTTCAGTGAACATCAAATCACATCAACTTATTTTTGCTCAACATTACATGTTGGTAATGTATTTTAAGTGCAAACTGATTTAAAGGTCTGCTAATGATTTCCTTAAAACACTAATGGAACAATGGAATATATCAATTCAGACTTTACTGTGACTGACAACTAAAGCATATTTCACAACTCTGTAGTGTTATCAAAATGGTTACTTGTTATGTAAAGTAGATGTGATCTGTAGTAAAAGGGCTAAAAGAAACAAAACAGTTTGCATAAACTACCTATGTTTCCCATCAAAATAAAAATATTTACAGGACTGAGCCAAAGATACAAAAGAGAGTGCATGGAACATTGTAGGAGCAAAAAAGAGTTTGGTAAATTAAATTTAAATACCTCACAGACTTCTTCAATCTGCTCGACATCACCGTCCACGACTGCCTTTGCAACTGCGTCCCTCACCGCCTTGTATTCCTCTCCATATACAAGATACTGGTCCATCTGGCCTCCATCTTCATTCTGTTCACACCATGAATGTAGATAGAGGAGCAAAAAGACACTAATATAACTACTATAACTGGGCTAAATTTGATGCCACAGTTTGTTTCCATGTTGTAGTCGGTGCATGCTTTCAAAAGATAGCGTGTTGCTGATAATTGGTCCATTTAATAATGGTGACATATTTACTTGTTTTATGATTTAAATATTTAACGTAGCAGATTTTCTAATGAATGGTGGTGTACCTGTTGATGGATCTCTGCAGGGAAAAGCCAGCTGAACTCTGGTTGTTTCACCAGCGTCTGGACATGCTCGACACCAAGCTGTTCACTGAGCTTGCGGATCAGGTAAACACGGTACCAATCATTCCCACTATCCTCACAGAGCTTAATTACCATCTTCAGGAAATCTTCTGCTCCATCTGGGACGTTGTTGTCTGCAACACCAATGTAGTCGAACAGACTCTTAGTTATTTTTATTGCTAACTAATACAAACTGTCAGCAGTAGTGAAGTCACAGAATTTCTCACCAGACAGACAGTCAGTGATGAGACTGGTGGCCATTGTGAGGGACAGACGCAATCGGGCGATGTGCTGTAGATATTGAATAGACACTGTTGTTGGAACAGAAGGGACTTCAGCCAAAAAGAAGTGCAGGAATTGTGTCTCATCCCTGAAAAGTGGCTCCAACTCTTCAGTCTTGTTGTCTTCCAGAGGCAATTTCTCCCACATGGAGTCCTGCAAAGAGCATCAGTTAACTGTCTTATATACTGCAGGGTATCTTATAACTGTCTTAAATAATGAGCATAAGTAAAGTAACTATTATAAACTGTTCCTAAAGTTAATTTCTTTTGAATGTTTTGAAATCTTTAGTGAAATATTCTTTCCATCTTTTACTGGTCCATTTCTCCACTATGAAACATAATAAAACATTACAGTTATATCTTTGTTCAAAAGACGTTTTTACCTCCAAGCAGTTGATGTACAAGGCATAAAGCTCTGCTTCATCACCCTCATCCACAAATCTGCTTTCTTCAACAGATGACAAATGCTGTTGCAAATACTCCTTGACGTCATCAAAGCTGAAACACAGTTTGTAAAAGTGAATTATAAACTTTGTGCAAAGCAGAAGAGCTTCATATGGTGAAGCAGGTGCGCCTGAATCTATTCAGACATTTTCTCACAACAAATTCCTGCTGTGATAAAACCAGCAATGCTGTCAAACTTCTCTATTGACAGCATGTTTTTTTTTTTTTTTTTTTTTTTTTTTTTTTTTTTACATTCAATGACACATTTACCCACCTGAACTTCAGCAGCAGCTTGAGAATCACAGATCGCACAACTGGATTGTTATCTGGGCACTCCTTGAAAGGTGACAGATCTTTGGTGTGAATCTGTTCATCTTCTAGTTTGAAAGATGATTTAGAATAAATATTAGTAACAAAAAAGACTAATAATAATCTTAATAATTATTAAAATTTATGAACATGCAGATTGTACAGGGTATATGGCATATAAACAGAAACAGTGGCACAACATATGAAGAAATAAAAGATAAAAAAAAATCCAGTTTCATGAGAAAAGAAGGTGAAGAAAACAAATATTCTTTCTTTAACAAGGTAAGTACCTGTCTCAACCCTCATGCAGGACAGCAGATGGGTGATGACACCTTGGGTTGGCGGTATGTTGTCCTTGAAGCACACAGTGGAGAGCATATCTATGAAGAAACCATTGCAGCGTCGCCTGAATTCTGCATTTCTCTTGAAAGAAGCCCTGCAAAATAAATACAAATACCACATAAAAATGAAAAGCTATGACATTTTATTTGTGTTTATTAGAAGATTTCCAAAGGTGATTAAGCTTAGCCAAATTATTCCCCAAAACTTACTCTGCCAGGGATTTTCTTGTTTCAGTTTGTATGTCTCTGTATTTTCTCTGTGTGATACTATATTTTACAGTAACATCAACTGAATCACTGACGTGTTCACACCCACTTTTTGGGAAGCAAGTGTATTATACACTAGAACTGTGCACATACAGTATATACAGAGTGCAAGCCACTTGCTTGTTAATCTAAAAGAGTTTAGGTTGCACGTCATTCAAAAGGAAGAGTCTGATGGGGTATTAAAATGGCATTTCTGCATACTCAGCTGGATAGGTGTATGCACAATAGAAAAACTGAGTGATCTGGCACACTGCTCAGTGTCTGAGGGCACACATTTTTCTTATAAGGCAGACTGCTCATTAAACTAAACTGCTAAACACTTGCAGTGCAAAAAAAAGCTCCTCCTGCGCTCTTAGAAACAACAGTGTGCAGTGAGTATCATGTTTATGATAGCAAGCAAGTAGTATTTACAGTATATGTCCTTGAACACGGCTCCTTTTCTGTAACTGATCCTTAGGAAAAAAGGTTTCACACCTTTGGATTTTTACAGGTGTAAAATGGTGAATGAAATCTCACCTGATGTCTTCAGAGACATGTGGCTGAAAGTCATTTTGTAACTGTTGCCTGCAATTGGGACACGAAGGCCGCCCTGCATCCAGGCTGGCCTTGATGCATGGTAAGCAGCAGATGTGATCACATGGCAGCCCCACAGGGTCCTGAGGCTCTTTCAAGCACACCACACATTGAGGTCCAAACCTGTACGAAAATGTGACCAACGCCAATCAAATTCACTTCAGGACAACTAAAGAACATTGTTGTCAAATGAACAAGCTCTTACCTGAAAATCTGGTCACTTGCCCCCTGCTTACAGGAGTTCAGTACTTTAATCACAGCTTGAAAAGCCTTCAGTGATTTTACATCAGTGTTTCCCTCCAGAACCTTAAAATAGGTCAAAAACATTGAACACAAATTTAACAACAGGGATACATGATTTTTCAATTTCTTCAGCTGGCTGGACTAAAATCGAACACAGTAATGTGGTAAAATGTGCCAATGGTGTGAAGACCATCATGACACAGAAAAAAACTCTGTTCAAGGTAGATAGGTTAAAAAACGTCACCACATTTAACGTAGCCCACAAAGCTCACACTGCATCTGTTTTTGTAAAGTATTATCAGTGATTTAAAAATCTACTCACCCTGCTTAAGGTTTGAATGTTACTGAAGACCAACTCTCTGAGGCAATTCTCTTCATGATGGAAACCCAGCAGCATGTGTTCCACAAACAATGAGAGGATGTAGATGCGCTTCCAGCCGTTACTATTAAATATTACAGATAATAATCACAGTTAGTTTCTCGTAGAAATATTTGCAGATTCACCATAGTGTTTTATGTCTGTGCAGAAAAGTAGTTAGCACAGGTGCTAAGCCCTAGATGGTTTGAACAATCACCTCACTGCTTAAATTCGTAGCCTTTAATGTGTTTGGGGAGAGAGCTTCAGAGGGAGGGGATGGCTTTGTAAAATGCTCTTTCACTGCAGGTCCGGTGCTTGGTCCTGAGTGGTGTAGACAGGAGTTTTTGGCATCAGAGCAGCAGAGGCTGTGGGAAGGAGTGTGGTGATGGAGAAGGTTGGTGAGGTAGGAGGGTGTCTCATTATGGAGGGCTTTGGTCAATGTACCAAAGACAATGCTGTTGTCTTGTACTTGATTCTGGGTGTAATGAAGGCATGGATCAGGGCTTCGGCAGCAGAGAAGGAGAGTGGTGGACGGAAATGATTTGGAGGTTGTGGACATGTGGCGAATGAGACAGGGTGGAGTTGCTGATGGTTAAGCAGAGGCTGCGAGTGGTTTTGGTGAGGGATTTGGTAGGGAAGTGGGGAAGTTGATATGTTGTGTGAAGTTGAAGCATTGAAGCAGCTCCCAGAATTCACTGGCAAATTTACAGTCAGTGTCATTAACATGGATATTAAAACCACCAGGATAGAAGGTGAGATGGCATATAGATGGGGTGGGGTGGGGTGGGTGGGGGAGGGGTAATTGCTCCTATGGGCAATTACCTCACCAAAAGTGGTTGTGATCAGACTGCGGGATGGAACCAGAGCAACCACAAAAAACTCCATACAGACACAGGACGGACATACAAACACCACACAGAAAGGCAGCCATCTTCAAACTTTGCTATATGGTATCTAAGATATCAGTTTTCCCCGTGGAAGATTTTACTGAATTTGGGCAAAAGTATTTTACTTTTATGTCCAATCGTGTGCATCAGCAACTTACCCGACATCACGGAGTCTTTCTCTGCATCGCTCTCCATACTGTTTGGTGTTTTGTTGGGAGCAAATCAACTCCAAAGAAGCTTGCAGCCTCTTCACCTGCTTCAGCCAGCGCTGGCAAAGAGCATCAGTATGTAAATCAGGAGACCCCAGGTATTCAACACATGCCTTGGCTGCAAGAACATCCAAAACCTACAGGAGAGTAAAACAATTTGGAAGTGATTCAGCATTTTTGCACAATTTAAAAACACCCTCTGATGAATATTGGAAGCTTATCTACTTTCCACTATTATTGTTCTACATATTTTTCAGTGTTCTGCACTGTGCAGAACACCATATCTGACTTAGCTGAGAGGTATGTATATGGTCCCTTGCAGTATAATGGAGGAATGAGCCTTTCGATAACACAATGACAGATTAAACAGACTGTATCTCATCTCATATAAAAACAGGTCATGATGGGCTTAAATCTGTTTCATTTTTGCAGTCTTTGAAGTTTCCACAGAAAATGTTGCTGGAATTTAGAAATGTGTTTACCATCTCTGGACAATGTCTAATGTGCTGGTTTCTACGCAAAGCATAAACAATCTCAGGATGCAGAGAAATCATCCAAGAGAGGTTCTGAAGACGACTTTGGTAGAAATGGTAGGCGATGTGGATGTGAGGGAGAGAAAGCTCATCTTCATCTTTTTTTCGTCTCTGTATTTCATCAACACAGCTGGCCAGGGCCTGACACAAGAGCTGAGGAGTGAATGCACAAGTAGATTAATAATGCATTATGTGCACTAAACCATGGCAACATTAATGAGTAACCAGTCAAAGGTAAATAGTCTCTAAAATATTTTCAGTGAACCAATTTCTCTGCACAACTGTAATGAGTAGAATAATGCCTCACTCTGTTTAGAACTGAATTATTAGTGTACACCTAACTCACTGAGTGACCTGTTCCTGTATATTCTGTAGATAATACTTCTCACACTGGTCACTCAGTGTATATTTAGTAAGTTTGTTTCTACTATATAGGTACAAAGAAGCAGAAAAATTCAAGACTTTGATTGACTGCGATGGATTAGATTGCTGTGAAGCAGAGAAAATCATAAAGGAAAGGTAAATGAGAGCAGTGGTATTGAGGTAATTGGATGCAGTAACAAAATATTTGAATTGCCCTCACCTTTAATTCTTCATCTGATGGCACTTTCATTGTCATGGAAACAAAATCCTGTAGGTACCTTTCAAGAAATTCTTTTCCCATTTTTTCATTCACATTTTTAGCCATGTAACTGCCAAGTGGAGTGTTCAAGAACAAGTCTCGGAAATGACCAGGTGAATGAGCTGCAAAGAAAAGTGGAGAGTCAGTCTAAAAGAGATCTTTCAGTTACAAAGCTAATACTTTAACTATTTATTAATTATTCTTGAACAGAACAATTTAGATATGTTACTCATAAGGTGTGATAGTTACTTTCATGTCTGGATGTTTGCATCATGAGCCCATCCAGGAAGTCTTTGATCCACCAGCTGAAAGGCATGAGGCAACGCATGGTGTTGCCACCTGTGGTATGGCTTTGTACCAACAATACCCTGGAGATGTAAGAGAGTCAGGATGCAAATATTACAAACCTTTTGCAAGACAGTGCAATTACATTATTTATTTTGTAGCCCGTACAGCCTCTAGCTGGTGCTGTAATTCACTTCAAGTTTACTTGCATTTTTCTTGAGCCAGAAAACAAACCATTCAGAACCAGCAGCTGACAATTTGAGCTGAATAGATATACTTTTGACAGATATGATGATACAACCAAGAGATACTCACTTGTTTTCATCCCTCACATAAGGTACATGCAGCATCTCTTTGCTCCCAAATATCTCAAGCCATAAGTTCCTGACATCATCCCCATCAAACAGAAGATCTAAATTGCAATCTCGGTCAATGACTGAGACCAAGTTGGCCAGAAGCGGAGTGACAACTGCTTGGATTTTCCTCCACAGTGTGTGTCTGTGAAATTAACCAGACATTTGCACATGTATTAAAAATGACAGTAGGTAAGAGGTAAAGTCATGTCAATTGAAACCAAATCACTGTATGGACAGTGATTAAGATCTAAACAGCTTGTTCAGCTGGAGTTTGCAGTTGTGCATTTTCATTTTACACCAAAGCAAAATAGATTTAAATAAGTGATGAATAAATGACAGATAAAGATTTTATGCAAATATAGTGAAGAAAACTGCCATGTAAAAGTTAAGGAGAGACCTACAGGAACGTTCCTCCCTCTTGAAGAGCAGTGGCATTAGATGCCTCACTTAGTACCCAGCTTTTTGGACTGGGGATGCTGGCCTCATACTCCTCTAACAACATGCGAAGACGCTTCCTCAAAATGTTTGCAAACACACCTTAAAAACAAAATTCATTGACAATAAGTTTTTTTTTTTTTAGAAAGATGCACTTTTTCTGTACACAGAGTAGACGAGCATAACGATGACCTGATATAAAAAGATGACCCCAAATGACTGATTTTCTAACCTTGTGTCTGACTTCCATCCAGAAGTGTGAGCAGGTTTTCAATTCTCTTAGTGCTGAGTTCTCCGCTGTCTTCTGCATCTCTGAGCATGCTGACTGCACTCTGCACACAGCTCTTCACCAGATCTTCAGTATCAAACAAATCTCCCAAATCCTGAAAAAAAGATATTACATAAAGAAAATTAACAACAGCAACATCTGATGAGGAAAAATGTCAGAGGTGAATCCCCTCAGAGGGCGTGAGTAACTGACATGTGCTTCTACCTAGGAGCCAGATTGTCTAATTGTAGCAAAGTCAATGAATGCATGAATGAATGAATGGTGTGTTAATGAGTTAAAGTTCTGAACCAATGAGGTGCTTTTCATCTACCAACTAGTCCCTCTAATTTCTAAATATCTTAGCATATGAGCTAAGTGCTAATTTTGCAGTTTGGGTATCATTTGATTACCGGTATGTTATAATGTAATGTATGTAAATGTTGAAATTACGATGAAGCCACAATTTACATACAAAGGCATCAAACAGTCACTGCTGTTGATAGATGCTTCATATTTTCATGTTAGTTTGCCTCCTCTGACTTTCAGAATACAGAATTTATTTAATTATCTAATTAATTTCAGAGTTCAAACTGATATTCTACTAATGACATTTAAAGCACTTCCTGGTTTGGTACCCTGTTCTAGTACTGATGGGACCCTTGTTAAGTATGTTAGCCACCTCCCAAACTTTGAAGTTACTGAGCTGTTTTTAAAAAAATGGATGATTTCGATGACCTATTATTTAAGTTATTCTATAAGAGCTCTCCTTACAACTGCAGCTGGTTGAGTCTTAAAGACTAAAAAAGCTGAGAACTCCAATTCTCAAATCTGAACTGCCATCTAATCATTTCCCATATTAGCATAGTCATAGTATTATCTATGTCAAGCACTGGCTCTTGTGTTTGATTTAGACTTAGCTGACCTAGCTCTGATAAACCACTTGTTATGATATATCCCGCATCTCCCGTTAAAAATAATACAGATGTAGATAAAAAAAAAAAGAAAAAAAAAAAGAATATACTAAATAATATAAATATTTTGGCAAATGTGAAACTTCCAAAGGTAATTTGTGCTTAAACATACATCAGAGATTAGGAAATTATATATTGGTTATGTGATCCTCTCATTCATCCAGGTTTAAGAAGATGAATGGTTAGTTACACTTACAGCGGAGTCATTTTGTGTCACACCAATGTGCTCTTCTGTCTCCATGGCTTGAAAAGACAGAGAATTATTGGAGAATTTATTCAATTACTTTAAATATATAACATTCTTTAAAAAAAAAAAAAAGGTATTTAATGAATTACCTTCAGGTGGATCTTCAAAAAGGTCACTTATGTGTAGATTCTTCAAGGAATGAACATCAGACACAAACTCTTTTGATCTTCTGAGATCATCAATGTGAACAGACATCCATGGACCTGAAAAAAAGGCACACTAATGAAAACACAATACGTAGGTTTTAACTGTTGTTTGAATATTTTGCTCTTTTTTTTGTTACTCTTAATGTGTAGCACTTTGTACAGCAATTTGTGTTTGAAAAGTGCTATATAAATCATTATTACTGTACTGCATATTGTGACATTGATATTGAGTCGCTGACAAGAAATAGACCAATTTGGTACGACTGTGTGTGTGTGTGTGTGTGTGTGTGTGTGTGTGTGTGTGTGTGTGTGTGTGTGTGTGTGCGTGTGTAACAGGTGAACTAACCGCCTTGAAACCCAACATAGGAGGTCCCACCCTCAATGCGAGGAAGTTTGCTGACAAAGTACACAAAAGTCTTTGTGTTGTCTGTAGTGGCCCACTTGCTCATTTCATTGATGCATGAATATCTGAGAAATCCAAACATGAAACATATGTAAAAGAAAAAAGTGAAAAAACATGAGCTTTTGTAATGACATTACAGAAAGATGTGAAGGAAAGTAATTATGTGATCATTGTCAAACTCACTTGGCTGACGAAAGAATATTCTTTCTGTGTGAATCTTCATCATACTCTGTTTGGATAATGAGCACTTTGTCTTCATGTGTTGAGCCAAGAAATTCCCTAATACCAAGACAAAGGCACAACTTACATTTGAATAGACATATAGACAGTGTACGTATACAGAATAATGTGCAATTTTATCAGTTCAGAAATTGTCCTAAAGAGAAACCCAAGAAAACTGAAGCACAAGGGTGTGGGTAAAGGTCATTGTTTAGATTGAAATGAGGACCTCGGTAAATATGATACGCTTTTCATACTGTATTTACAAACCTGATTTCCTTGAGAAAAGAGTACTCTGTGTCAAACTGCTGCAGTGATAGCAGCTTGATGTAATCAAGCTTTGTCACATTTTGCAGTTCTTGAGTGTCTCCTGCAGTCAGTAGTCTGGAAAATGTGGTGACCTTCGAAAAAGCAAAAGAATTAAGAATTACGCAGGCAATTTCTTTTTTGCTATTACTAATAGAAAAAGCCACCCATATATACTGTTACATTGTTCTATGTTGTGAGTCTGATTTATAATGAATACCACAAGTTAGGATTTGGCTGTTTAGGCAGTTTATACAGTAATTACTTATTTTATAAACTTTTCCTGTATGTTAATTTTTTCTCATGTACTAATGCAAATTGAAATTTCAACAGGCTTTTATCAACAACAACAATAACTATTATGTACTATAAAACCTGAAATAATTTGGTACTTCCATATTTAAAAATGGGGGAAATGAACAATTTAAAGCTAACTTAACAAAAGGTTAAGTGTAGGTAGAGATGTACCAGTACCAGTAAAGCAAGAGCTTGTTATTCCCTATAGATCAAAAACCATGTCTTGGGCCTAGGGTCTGCCCCCTCTGCGGCCAACTACTGACAAAGCACCCTGGCCCCAAACTCCTCCTGGTTGAAGGCAATAATTGAAGCCATATTAAAGCTGTTTCATTTACAATGGCATGAACTTGTATAGCACTGTTGAAAATAACAAATTTAGATCATGGATGTGTGGGTGACACTGACCTGAGAACTGAGGTAAACCATAAACAGTCAGCATTTCAGTGAAAAACTCCTCCTGGGGTAATACTGTATCACTGCCAATGTTTTCTATTATGATTCCTACTAATGTGGCAAGATGTTTCTGGATATTTTTATCAGTAAAATTAGAACTTTGAAGTAAAAAGTGTAAAGTGTATATTGATGTTAATAATGATGTGAATACACTTAAAATATCAAATCTGAGTGTGATTGGTCTTGGCAACAGTCCCATTTGTTTCTGGATAAATTGTTATATCTTCCCCCTTTGTGGTGGATTTCTCTCTGATTATTGAATGTCAGCACAAACTGATGAATATTAAGAGTACTTATTTCTGAGGGCCTGGCATAACATACTGTATGCCAGATGATTGCTTTGATTGACATACAGTACCAGTCGAAAGTTGTTAAACTGAGAACAAAATTAATATAAATGGACCCAAAATTGTTAGGTATATTCCAATAGCTGTTTACCAATGTTTTGCAGTGGGGTTTTGCTGTAATATTTGATAGCATAGTAAAAAAAAATATTACCTCAGTGAAGAAGAAGCTGGGCAGTTTCAAGTGCTGTGTGTGATAGACAATGTAGTCTCCCAATGACCTGTGCATCTCCTCTTTAACATACTCTTCTGTTAAATGTTCTGTTTCCTCATCAGGCAGTCTGGATTTGTCCAAACGAACGACAGAGTCTGGGGTAGCACAGTTAAGCAGAGTGTTTTTGGCTTTGTCCAGCATGGTCTGTGCATCTGTTTCATCACTGTGATTCTTGGTTACTTGCAAGACCACAGACGAGCATGTGTCTGAGTGGTAACCGATAAAGACATCACTTGGAACATATTGCTTTTTCGTGGAGTGTTGTCTGCTTAAGGAGACAAAATCATCAACCCATTCCTGTAGTTGACTGGCAATGTACTCCTGCTCATCACTGAGAACAGTTTTCATGTCAAGGTAGTGCTTCTCCAACCTGTTAATCAGTGGGATTGGAAACTGCTTGTAGACCACTTCTTTCTCTTCAATAACAATGAGCCTGAAGTTTTTGTGAACTCTGCATTTCACTCGATGTGTTCCCAATCCAAGATCAACATACTTTTGACCCCCTAGGGTCACATAGTATTGGTTGAGAGCATCATACAGACTTTCGTACAGATTCTGAAGGTTCAGAAGCACAACTGTCTGTCCAGTCTCCATGCAAACCTTCACACGATTGATGTTCCTACAAATCTGCGTGTACTCCTGATCCTTTGGGAAACTAGACCCAAAGATGATCTCTGGATGGATTTGGTGACAGTGGAATATCTGTTGGACAATCTGAAGAGCTGCATAGTTTTTTGTGAGGATTAACAGGTAACGATTTTCCTCCACTTGGCAAGCTGAGATGCTTTGATCGACCATATCAATGGTGGTGACTTTGGCGTTTGCGCAATCCTCCCTGAGTTCTTCATTAAATATGGCCATCACATCCACATCATCTTTTCCACTGAAGTTTCTCAGGACTGCTCTGGTGATTTCATCTGAAGTAGGACACTCATTAGAGATTTTGGTAATTGAAAATACCATCTTTATCAGACTGTAGAAATCCCGCAGACCAAAAAAGCCTCTGCCTTCTCTGCATACTGTCATATAAGCTTTTGCAAAGGGCTCAAAGAGGCGTCTGATCTTTTCAAGAACCTTTTCTTCAGAGGAGCATATCCCCATAGCACTTTTTATCAGCTCTTGCTGGTTTGGATCTCCACGGGACACAAATATCCCACGATTCATCTTGGCAGGGTCCAGTGCCCAGTTGGAAATTCCAATGAACCCTACCCGTTTATGGGGTTGTGGCTCATCATCAACACAGCCCTCTTCCAGTAGTGGGTGCAGTGTTTTCAATGGCATTTTAGGGGAATCCTCAGCCAATCCAATCTCATCAAGAACAACCACTGAGATGTATTCATCCAAGTTTTTGCTTTCTTGAAAGCGGGCACACTGTTTGAATGTGTTGATGATTCCTTCAGGAGTTGAATGAGGGCTGCACTGGAAAGACACCAGATGTATCTGTTTCAGCTTCTTGTAGAGATCGGAATGTGAGGCAGGGCCCTGCATTGCATCTGCAACTAGGGTTTTGGACAGTGATTTGGAGCTCCCTGGTTTCCCAACAATAAACAAGGGAATTCTTAGCTCAACACAGATCACCATCATGAAGAAATTCTCTTTCAAAGCCTCATTTCTGGCTATTGTCTTACCCATGGGTACCCCATTGAGTAGGAGGTCCTGCATGAGTTGGATTTCCCACTGTATTATCTTTGTGTTGTATTCAACAGGAAGCAACTGGCTGATAGTTGTCCAATATGGCTTTTTGTCCTCCAAGCAAGACTGATAGCACACTCCAGTGGCCATCAAGAGTGACCAGATTACTCTGTCACATGCAGGTAAGAATCGTAGCTTGTTTGTGTTTTTTTTCTTCTGAACTTGCTCTTGAAGGAACGCTCTCAGTTTCATAGCAAACATGTGGTGATTTTTGTGAAACCATACCAACACTTGCATGCAACGTTCAACATCCCTCAAACTGACAAAGCTACATTCGTCTTTCCTCTCCCTCATGAACTTTTGTGATAATGACATCACCTTAGTTATAGTTGGAATATAACATTTCTCAATCATGTTGGCCTTCGCCTGTCTTTGCACTATTTGTTTGATATACATTTGCTCTGTAGAGTCACTGAGCTGCCCAAAGTCCCAAACAAGAGGAATCATGCTGGGGGGTAACACATGAACACGATACACAAGCTGGCGGAGAGGGATGGACCCAAGCCTGTCAACAGTTTCCTCAGCCCTTACCCGGTAGCCCAATCCTGATGCCTCTAGCCTTTCTATCATCTTGTCTGTATGCTTCCTGTAGGGGTTGCAGGCAGCAATAATCTGCAGTCCTGTTTGAGAACTGAGTTGTTGTCCTTGCACAGAGTTATCACAAATTATCTCCTTGATGCTGCTGATGGCGTCTGTGGTGTTTGCTTCATCAAAGAAGAGAACTGAGTCAAATTCATGGTTCTCCTTATTGGCCATTGCAAGAGTTTCTGCTTCCTTCACTTTCTCGTGTATCATTTCTGATGTAGTTCCTCCATGAACCTTGACCAGTTTCATGTTTTCTGCTGGTGCTCCACATCTTCGCAACTCACACATGAACTTTATGAGCCTTGTCTTACCACATCCCGTCTCACCCATTATGATGACAGGGATACCACACTTAAATCGCATATGGATTGCCATCATTTTGAGGATATTATCAGTGGTCAGTTCATATGTTTCATCAGGATCTGTTGGCCACTTGATGCCAAGCACACTACAGAGATGCTCAATCTTGTCAGCTCGAGGAAGCTGATCAAAGTCCCTGTTAAAAGGTACTCTCTGAAGTCTTAAGGCGGTGTACAGCTCTTGAGTCATGATGTTTTTCTTTATCACTTCTTCTGTCAAAGGATTTATGGCATCAACCCCTTTCTGGGCATTGAGCTTGAGGTGAAACCCAATGAAAGTCATGGACGTGTGGTCATCATTAAAAAAGATGTATGGATGTGGCTCAGACTCCCACTTTTTTCTGATGAGGAATGGAGCTAAGTCTCTTTCATTAAGCCCACTGATTTCAATTTGTTGCCTCCCTGGGCTCTGGTCAGTGATGCATAGTGATGGGGTTGCAAAGTCTTTGGACATCAAGATCATAAACTCAACCACAAAGCTTTTGAAGCCACGAAGAGTATCGCCAACAAACTCAAAGTTGCAGAAAACTGAGTCCTCGCAGTCTTGCAATTGAAGATTTAGGAACCAGACAAAGTTACGTAGCTCCGCCCATGATGGATCTATTATGCCACAGTGGATTAAAATTATCTGAAGACACTTTCCATGACTCCCTTCAATGCCCTGGTAAGTGAAGTTGTCAAGATTCTGATTGTTGTAAAAACGTGTGAGGTACTGGTATGGTCTCTGGTAAGCTTCACTCCTGAAACACTCATCATCCATGAGGGGGTCTGCACTCTCCATGTCAGCGTTTTCCTCTCTCCTCATTTCCAAAGCCATAACCTCCTTTGGTGGACGACAAAACACCTTAGGGAAAATGTCCGAAAATGCAAAGTTTTCCTTTCGTCCCTAAAAATTAAAAATATACATATTTATATGTTGTTTATAATCAATCAATCAATCAATCAATCAATCAATCAATCAAGTCTATGCTCTATTAATCTCACTAATATGTATACATTCCTCTGCTAGCTACTGCACCTGTATATCATACTTAGCAATAAACATTGTGCTATCTGCAACTGCTACAATAATATCAATAATAAATGAAACCAATAATATGATTTCATCTGAAGAACAATGAACAAACAGTAAATCTCAACTTACAGATCTGGGGGCATATCCAGGCGGACAATTCATGGATTCCAGTAACTCAATGATGTACAAGTCTTTGTGGCTGCAACGCCACATCCGTCCATCTGAATCCATCAGGTACCGCAAAACGAAGAGCTTGAATAGGAATTCATTCAAGCCTTTTTGCACCTGTTTATCATAATTTGCATCGTTAGGAAAAACTCTTGTTATTGAATAAAGCAAAGTTTTGACAATCTTAAGGATTCTCTGAGAACAACTTTGTTGGAACTTTTCATAGGAACTTTTTATAGGAAGTTTCATGATTATAGTTATATAAACTTTGCTTACCGAGGATGTGACATCAAAGTGAAACACTTTGATATCTTTTTGTTTTGGTGTGTCATACAACGATTGGAGAACCTTGTGGTCATCAACCTCATGATCAGTTAGTCGGATGCACTTCTTAAATGCGGTTTCTGGTTCAACACTTCTTTCCAGCTTTTCATACAATCTTTGCACATACAAAGACTTACCTAAAAATGGTGAAATTAAAATATATCATTTGGCTGACTAAATCATGGCATTAAATGTAACTGAGCGGGGTTTAATTCAGTTTAATTTTTTTTGCACTTTGTTTTGTAAAATGAATAATGTATGATTGATTTCAGTCAAAGCAACGTATATAGCCTACATTTAAGGTTATTTTCAAAACCACTGAAAACAAACAAAAAAATAAAAATCACAAATTGTGGTATATGTCTCAATGATATGGTAAACAAATGCATAATCCAAAACTGAGAATGCTTGTACTTTTCGAAAGGCAAGCATCAGTTAGTATGAAAATTGCTGTAAGATTTACATTCAGATTGCTCATATACAATCCATTTTAAAAGGGTCACACTGGTAACTGCCAAATGCACAAATAAAGACTTGTGGAATAAAAGGCAGACTTACGCAGTCCTATGCAGTCATGGAAATGCATATGGATGCAAAGACTGTCATGATACTTATTGTTCAATAAGAAGTTGATTTTCCACAAATTTAAATTTATAATACTGTATCAGGCATAACCATAGAAACTGACATTATTTCTTTAGTTGGTTTTGTTCATGATCTGCATAACTCCTTATATCACACTGGCACAGATATTAAATTAGTGATATGAGAAGAACAAAAAGAAAAACTACTGCTCACCTACTCCAGCACGTTGGGAGGCCACAATACCAACAGAATGGCCACCTTTGAACAGGGCATTCTTGTGATCTGATGTGACAGTGTAATGCCTCGACAAGTACTTCTGGATTGTTTCCAATGGCTCTTGTGGCACAAAGTCTCTTTTGAACTGACTGAATGCAGTGGGGATGTAAGTGTGTTCTCTGTCAGAGCTGCACAAGATCACTAGCCTGTACTCATGTTTAAACAGAGAACGCAGTTTCTGAAAACACTTCTCCACTGCACAGCTCACGTCATAGGTTAGTTGGTCTGCCCAAAGCATTGTGTAAATCTTCTGGCCACTGTCACCTGGTGTGACACATCTCCTCAGGAAAAGCTCTACTTGCTCATGTGACGTTGCAGGGGTGCACAACAGAACCTCATCATAACTTGGCAGTGGCTCATAGTCACTGGTCATGTACAAGCAGATACTTGAAGTCAGGACCTCATCGTAAGGGCAGACTATGAGATTAGGCTGCTTTGAGGAGAAACCTTTTGGGAGCTTTCTTCTGATTGAATTGTCTTTTGTCTCTGAGAGCACTGGTTCTTCCCATTCATTTTCAGTTTGGTTTTCTGTGACAGTCATTATTTGTAGTAGTCCCCCTAAACTCCTCATGTCCAAAAGGTCATGGAAAAATATTCCCTCATTCTTCATGTAGGCATTCCACAACTCCTCCAGTTCTTTCAAACCAACAGTCTGGTCTGCCTCGTCTGCTGGTTTGGCTGAAGACATATTGCTGTCATCCTGGTGAAAAAAGAGGCTTTGAAAGTGAATACCTTCATCAATCCTTTTGCCAGCCTCAAACTGATTGCAAAATCTTCCCCACGTGGTCCAGACATCCGATGTTGTGCAGTTTGGTTTGATAAAAGAGAGCATCATCAAAGCATCATCCTCTATTTCTGCATTTAGATTTGTCTGTGTCACAACACTACACAGGTAGAATAGTTGTTCTGCTGTGAAGTAGTTTAAGTAGTAGTGATCAGATCGCTGTTTGTCCATGAAGTTTCGCCAGTCATCAAGGAACAACTCCATCTTCTTTGACAGTGCTGTAAGTTGTTCAACTAGACTTCCGCATACTTGGATGTGATGTAGGGTCTTGCAAAAGTTGATTTCCATAATAATACATGGATCACACTGGGTTTTGCAATAAATGTTGGCTTCCCAACACCTGAAGAGTGGGTTCCCTGCAGCATAAAGGTCTACAAATGCTTTGGCAAGCCTTTGGACAGTGTCGAACACCTGAATATGAAAAAAATAAAGTGAGATTACAGGCATCAAAAAATTAATGCATTAATTATTTTAAACATTCCATTTTACACTTTATCCAGCTTGCAGGAACGCAGATTTAAACTATAAATATCTTATAACACAATTAAAAAAATATACTGTCAATATACAACACCTCAGTGAATTGTTCCACTTCACTTTGATTTTGTTCCCCTTTTCCAGACATGAGCATAAGCTTATTTTGCAACTCTTTCAGGTCCTCATAGGTGCATGTCATATTCTTCTCAGGTCCGTCCTGAATTTGCAGCATCAGGGAAGTCTCCAAAGCAAGCTATAAAAGGGAAAAATGTATATGTTATGGAACACATTACAGTGTTTATTCAAGGTTCTTAGACCTTACAACTATCATCACATGCACAAAATAAGAATAGCCAATTTGGTTTTGTTAATTTACATATGCATTGTTAATACTTTATAAAAATGTTTATTTCTTAGTTTCTTCTTTAACACTGATATAAAATTAGGATGAAAGATAAGAGTAACCATAACAAAAATACAATATTTTGTACCAAACAAAGCAACGCCCATTTGTTAGTTACTACCATAGGAAAGTTTATAAAATGAAAAACACTTTTTTTTAAAGTGCTCTCTACTTTGTTAAATGGATCAAGCCCAGTTTAGGTGATTGACAAGCATTTTAATAAGACTATCAGGTTTGTTTTTTTAAGTAGTCCTGTAATTCTTTAAAATTCAAACATTAATTTCATGCAGTGTACCCTTTTCTGATTTTGGGCCTTTATGGTGTATATTCCTCTCTCATTGATGGATTTAGCCAGAGACAGAGATGAAAATTCAACAGATCCATGGCTTTCTTTAACGGTCTTCAACCAATCCAGATGACGTGCTGTATCCCGCTGAAATCAGACACCAGACAAAAAAAAGATCAGCGTGTAATTCCGGCTGTAATTGAACCAAATAATCAGTACAGGGCTGATTGCTTGGCCTGCATCAATCCAGTTTACAGCTGTCTTGAGAATATCATCCAAACAATTTCTTAAAAATGACCTGAAGCATAATGAATGCAGACAATGTACAGATCATCTCTGGGGCTGTTAGGGAATACAATATCTATGTGTAAATGTGTAGGCTCTAGGTTTAGAAATTTGTACGTGTGGTTTATTAACTGTGCTCTGGGATTCATAGCCTGTGCCCTCAGACCAATGCACTCAAACAACTTGGTTTGCAAATGCAAAGCACAGTAAATAAAGCGTTATACAATGAAAGGGGTGAATCGTCCAATGCGCAACTGAATATAGCATAAAATGTACCCTTAAATTTTGCAAGCAAACGACAGTAAATACAGTGTTACACATGTCCCATCCCCAGGTTGATGCTCTTGTCAGTGTTGGAGCCTCCATGTGAGATGCGTTGGTTGGGTGATTGTGTGTTTTTAAAACTTGTGCAGCACACTCTCAGTGGAAGGTATAGCTGCAGATTTCTGGTTTAACAGCGCTGTGATGGGCAGGTGTCAGGTCTGTTTATAGTGTTTGTGTTCTCTGAAAGATGTCACAGCACGGAAAAGGGGTGGAAATTAGTGTGTTCACCTCGGTGAATGCCTTTGAAGATTGCTCAAATTTAAGGAGGAGGAGACACTGCAACACACTTTAACCATATTATTCACTTAATCTTAATCTCACTTAATTTCATTGGGATTTTGGAGAGCTACTCCCTGTTTCAACCTTGACATATTAAACTTTATGTAGCTGTGTATGTGCTGAGTTATAAATAAAATACCTTGTGAATTAATTTTCACCTTAAAATAATTTGGTTTAGACAATATGATAACTTTCTTGATTGGATGTGGTTCAATTGTAGTTACAAAGTCAGTTTATGTATGGTGGAAACAAAAAGGGTGGAATCTCACCAGCTTCCATGGTATATTTCTGTCATTTTCAAGTGCCTTCCACAGTTTCGTGGCCGCTGCCTTGAAGTCCTCAAAGTCAGAGTCCTGCTTCAGTCCATACAGTATGGACGAGTAACCAAGGACGGCATCATGAAAACAGGCCACTCGATCCACATCCAGGTCATTTTCTCCAGCAGAGATGGATGCCAGATCGACAAAAACTTTGAGCTCATTGATATCTGCAATCACAAATTTCCTTTAGCTGATATGAATTTTTGTGTTTTACTATTGGTAACAAAGAATGGCATCTACTGTACCTTCAAGTGCTTCTTTAACCCACAGCACAAAGTTTCGTCTCAGACTGAGTTCCTCAAGACATTTCCTGCGATTATCTGTAATGTCCTTCAGAATATTTTGGGCCTTTATGAAGGTATCATCTATGCAATCCAGGCTGTTTTTCTTGAAGTCAGCTTGATTCTGAAAATGCATATGTACAAAATGAAATAGCTGAGTAAATGATTCATAATTCCAGTTTAGATGGTGGTTTAAAAACCTAATTGTCAAAACAGTTTATAGCTACAGAAAGTTCATTTTCCTCAAAACTAAATCTATCTAAGACTGAGGGTGTCATAATTATTTCAATTTCCACTTTACATTTCAATTTGCATTTTCCAGAGTATTTCAGTATTTCAAGACCAAACTATTCTTCAACTAGAAATGTGTACAGTGGAACAGCTAATTACTTTTTGACAGCAACATACTCTAATATGTCCATAATCATGTGCACCTAGAAAATACATTATCCCCTATGAATGAAGCCCTTGTCTATAGGCCTGTTAATGTCTTACAAGTAAAGACAGATGTTTCTTTATAAGACGCTTATTAACGTTGGAAATGTACCATTTGCAGCAGTTTCTCCAGTACTGTGAAGTCTCCTTCTGGACATAGTGTGTTCCTGATATCCATGATGATTTTGGCAGATTCCATTGCCAGATGAAGATCATGGTAGTGTTGAATCTGGGAAATCCTTCCTCTGATCCATTTTCTGTTATCAGTTGGATTTATTCTGCACATGATGTCTAGATCTTTCTGCAATTCTGCATACTTTCCTTCATAGATCTCAACCATGCTGTCTATTTCCTCCAGCAACACTTCCCCACTCTTCAGACCACTATAAAGCCCTTCATACTTGCTGTAGCAGCTCTGGAAAATGTTGTGGTAGACATGGTCAAGAGTATAGATTTCTTCATTTCCATCAAGATGTTCAGTGTCATCTGTATCAGATTGGTCTCTTGACAGCTCTTCTACTTGGGTCCTCCAGCACATTTTGAAGATTAAGCTATCTTTAATGGCATGTAGTTCTGAAGCCATTTGACGGGTCACATCACAAAGGTCAAAATAAGTGACCTTCCCAGTTGTAGAAGAGGTCTGTCCATCAAGAGTGTAAACCTTCATAAATTCATTGAGATTCATCATCTCGGTGTTCTGATGAAGTTTTTTGTCCAAACCCTCGAAGTCCACTGTGGATTAAAAGGATATTATTAATAATGTATGTTCATATACATGTTCTTCTACTATCCTTTTAGTCCTAATGCTACAATATAAGAATATAAGATCTTCAAAGTACAACTTCACAGATCCCCTTTCAATGTAAAAGAATAGCAACTTGATAGTAATGCCAGATTAACTGAACTCCTCACCTTGTTGCACAGAATTAGGGTAAGCAGCCCCAGCAGAGTAATCATACTGACTTTTGGCATCCTAATGATTATATTTGAATTTGAACTTTATTTTATTTGATACGGACAATGCAGTTTAACATAGTTCCAATACAGAGTATGAAACTGATACTAACTGATAACTACCTTTACTAAATTTATTAATATTACTGATTTACAATTGCCATACACCGTCTTCCTAGATACTCCGTTACTGTCTTGTCCTGGATATATCTGGAAAAAGCCTCTGGGGCTGGGCTGTTGATACATTTAAAGACTAATTTGAGAAAACAAAAGTGAGTGAAACTCTCAAAGCTAAGTAGATTGTATCTTTTCAGGATGTGACAGTGATGCCACCGGACAGGCTTTCTGTCCATCATATGTCACAGGATTCAAAAACACAGGAGCTGTCAAGCGAGGGGAGTCTATTGGTATCGCTGGTCAGTGTTTCTGCACCCCCACTGAGAAACACCTTGGCAACTTTCTGATAACCTCAAAGAGCAAGCATTGACAAACCTGTATGTTGCAGTACAGCTGGCAAAGAGTTAAGTGCTGTGACAACACAGATGTACATTGGGTATCTACATGAGAGGCAATCATCAGTCAATTGTCTGTAACTGTATTCTTAATCCAAGAGAACATAATAAGGGAACAAACCAAACAAACCAGCTATTTCATGGTTAATATTGCTGCGGATGTTGGACGCACCATAACTGTAAAAACTATGGGAGGTGGTATCTTTTGACTTAACTCGCTACACCAGACTACACAGAGGACGTTAAAAGGTTCCATGAAGTGGTTTTCATTGCCAAACTGCAAATTTCAGATATTTCCTAGTCCCCTAGTTCAGCCCCTCCCCTGCCCTATTGGAATTGCAGAAGATGCTATTCGTCACCATACAGCTGGCACTCAGGTAAACAGCTGGCAATGCTCATTCTCTGCCTGTTTAAGCTATGGACGTCCCTAGATCCTTTACTTTTTGCTGCATCAGTGAAAGAAATCCCCAAAAATGATCAAAGAAACGCTACATTTTTTGTACAAATCAGTACATGGTTTTGGTATTAGCATACAACTGTTCTTGGTCTTGATTATCACTTTCCCTAAATAAATGTTTTATTCCAAGTCAGATTTGAAATATTCCCCTTCACACAAATTTTTATCATCTGAATCAGGAGTCAGTGACTGTTTAGTGTGTGTGGTACATATAGTACAATAATAATGTAATAATCATAATAATACAATAATTCTAGAAATAATGATGATAAACTACACCATAGCATAGCATCTTGATCCAAAGACAAGGTTTCTTAAAAACACTTGCATGCTTACATAATTTTAAGCTGTGTGCCAGCACTGCCTACCTTTGACATGTTGGGGAAGCTCCTGGCAGATTTGTAGAAGATCCTTGGCCAGTTCCTTCTCACTGTGGACAGCTTCTGCTTCGTCTTTTCTTGATCTCAGTAATCTTTTTAGGTTCATGTCATCTTTACAGCGACCATCATCACAGTGACCATCTAGTGGAATATGAACAGATGAAGAAATGTGAAGCTCAACAAAGATTAACACCCACAGGAGTGTCCACATAACAGGTTCATATGCACACATCATCACAGTGAATATGAAGACAGGTAGTGGCATGCTCCCAACCAGAGGTTCAAGATATATTTCAAGATAAATCTGAGGGATTGTGAGATGATTCATGGGGTAGAATAAGAAAATGTTCAAATTTGCTACATAAATTTGCATTAACTTTTAAAACATTTGTCTAATCTTTGCTTTTTGTGCAGTATTGAATAATTTGAACTCCGTGGGCCTCAAACACTTATTTAAATGAAGCCATTTAAGAAGCTTCAAAAGATTATTTCACACAATCAAAGAAAGCACATCTAAACTCAACTTTTGTTTACGAAGATCTGAATATATCCACAACAGAGACTTCTGCTGCCCAGGCAATTTATTGGTGGTTAAAGTGAATTTGTTTGTGAAGATGAAAACACTAAAGTAGTTGTTAATCTCAACAGCAATGTCTTTTTAGAATTTATTTAATAATTTTTATGCTGTTTAAAAACAAGTAGTCACTACTGAAAACTAGATGAACTATTGGCAGTGAGACATGTGGAATATCTACAGGGACTGGTTTCTGGAATGTGCAGTTCAGATTTCAAAATTATTTTTTTCTATGCTTTAAGCATCAGAAATTCAATCTGTCCACTGTATTTTGACTGCAGCTGTATACACACACAATCTGGAGTAAGAAGTAGAAAAAGACATAAAAAGAAGACAAGAGTCAAAGGAAGAGGTAGCAGAGCAGAGAGGACAGCAGAAATAGATATTTGTATTCACCTATCTTCAACAGGTCAATAAATTCACATCCTTTGTGAAGGATTTGGTTTAAAGTTTTCATTTGGATTTCTCCACTGAGGAACTTCTCTGCCACAGATTTGAAGGCTGAACTTGCCAAAGTCATTCTGATTTGTGCTTCATCTGACAATTTGTCAATGAGTCTTCCTTTTGCAGCTGAAAAACAAGCATGCAAACATAAATTATTGTGTTATGTACTGTACAAATAAAGATTAATAAAACACACACACACACACACACACACACACACACACACACACACACACACACACACACACACACACACACACACACACACACACACACACACAAAATTTACTATTATTTAATACCATGGGTTTTTTTGCAAAGTTTCCTGTTGATTAATGCTATGATTATGACTTTTAGCTGTATACTTCAACACCGTCAGAGATTATAAATCAGTGGTTTCCAACCTGTGGGAGGGGACCCACTGGTGGGCTGTGAAAGTATTGCAATTGGGCCAACAAATCATTTGCAAAACAGAACAATTTTGGTGAAAACAAGTAAAAATACTTGTTTCTAAAACAAA